ATGCAAGAAGAGATGTCCTTCCTCTAGGAAAATTCACCCTGAATTTAAGTGGCTGTCCAAGAAACAGTGTCTTCACAGAGCATGTATACCGTATTATTCAGCAGCTTGTTCCTGCAGTAAGAATTACATTTATAAGCTGTTTACCTTAACTGCTCCTTCATGTCAGTATCTGGGTTCACCTGCCACATTAAATTGTAATGAACGTGGATTTCAATACTATGAACATAGCCATTTGTAAATCACAGTTTATGTCTTAATGCAATGTGTAAAATTGCTTAATCAATTTACTGTACTTCAGATTGGGTACTTAAATGGACAATTGAGAAGTGTGTGTGTGTGAGAGAGAGAGACAGCAGACAGACAGACAGAGTGAGTTCTTTGTATACTGATAATCCTCTATAGAGTTGATAGTCCACAACTTACAACCGTTTGTTCTGCCCATCCTAGTGCCCTTGCCCTCAGATGATTGTGATTTGGGTGCTAGCAACTGTGTCACAGTTAAAAGTGGTTGCAGTACCCCGCAATCACACAATCGCCATTTGTGACCTTTCCTGACAGCTTCCCCAGAAAGTTATTGGGAAGACAGCAGGGTCTCAAGTTTCTGGGGTGAGTCTTCCCCACGTACATATCCTCTCCCAGTGCTTGCACTGCACCAATGACTCACACATCCCCGCATACCCTCCCAAGCTTCCTTTACTGCTCGTGTATCCTCCCCAAGCTTCACTGTTCCATCTCTTGCATCCTCGTCACACCTTTCTGACACCCTCCCAACTCTCGCTACACTGTTGCACACCATGCCTTGCCTCTCTTGCCCTTCCCCATCTGGCTCCTCATGCCCTTCCCCATCTGGCAGCAGTCACTTATTACCTGCTGTCCTGCCTGGGAGGCTCCTGGTGCTTTCACTTCCTGCTGACTTCCCCACTGACATAAGGGAAGCCGACAGAAAACTGCTTGGGATTAATTAGAGTGGTAACCAAGACTGCAGGGATTGCCATCACCATGTAGTGCAGTCTGGTGGAAATTCTGTTCCCAATTGCTGTCATAAGCCTACCTGTATGTCACCAATGCATGACTGCTTGTATGACATATACAGAATGATGGATCTGTACCCAATAAGACAGTTTATCTCTTAATTCCTCTATGGCTCAAGGAAATGCAGGTGCCATAATTTTAACAATATGGTTTCTGTCCTTGCTTATGCCTGACAGTATGCTTAGTTATAATGACAAAAGAAAAAAATAAAGTGTAATTAAACATTTCTGCATATGTACATAATGCATTTTTTCAAGCAATGTTATGTAAGTTTGATGCTTTCAAAGATAAGGGAATATTTTTAAGATTCTGTCTTTTAAAACCAATTTGCATAAATTTTATTACACCTCTGATTTTTAAAAAAATATTTACTGACTTATGAAAGAAAGAGTGTATTTCTTTTACTCTGGAAGAATTGGGTGTCTTTAGCCAGAATTTCTGCAATTACATGATTCCTTGATTTTTATTAAATCGTTAATCTTTTACGTCAGTTATTAAGTACATGTTCCATATGACAATTCATTATAGTGATTTTTTTTGGCAGTCGTATCGCCTAGAGATGACTATAGAGAATATGAACAGCTTAAAATTTAACCCACACAAGGACTACACAGCTAACCGCTTAGTCAGTGGAATATTACAGTTGGCCAACAGTACCTCTCTTGTCATAGATGAAACCCTGCTAGAGCAAGGACAGCTTGACACAAAAGGTTAGTATTCATGGATACAGTTTCTGTTCAAATATCTTGCATGAATAAATGTTTAAAAAAAACATGGTTGAAGCAAAAATAGAGTTGCCTCTCTGATCCTTTTATTTTACATTATATAAGCATATACGTGCCTATCTTGTCACCTGAGATCATCAGTTATAAATGTTAAAATTGTAAATGCAAGCAGCTAAGTAAAGCAAGAAATAAGATCAGAAGGAGGTTTAGTATGTTTGTTTAGTTACTGTAACATGTATTGTGTGAGTTTGGGGAAAAGAAATTAATCTATCTGGAAATAAGATAATCCCAATTTAAAATATAGATAAAACTTCCTTCAACTTTTCAGATTTAACATCAAATTCATCTTCTGAAATCTAGTTATCTTAACAACCAGAGACAGGCAGAAACTATACAATTTTTGATTTGGATTACCTTCTTCACAGGAATAATAGTATAGCCATATAAAGCCTGTCCCTCTTTTTAACTGCATTTAGTTCAATTGCCTCACCAGAAGTTACTCCTTTTTATTTTTTTAAAAAAGTGGGATTTTCATCCATCTATTGTTGAAGGATGTTACATCTGTCATGCTGCTTCCCAGTTGTCTTCTGCTATCAATGGACCTAAATCTTCCTTAGGCTGTTTTTCTGCTTTTCCACCTATGTCTTAATTCTGATGGTTCACCATACTTATAATTCACAAATAAATAAAATTTTGATTACATAAAAATCATCATAAACAATTAATATAAGAGAAAATCCAACATCCTAAAACCATGAAATGTGCATGGGAATTATCCAACTGAGTGGTGATCGTAGCATGAGCCACGCATCAGTCAGTACATTCTAATCCCTATTCATGTTCATAGGAATTAAAAGTTCTATATTTAAATAGGTTTTTTACTTATTTCTTTTATATTTCCATTCCAATGGACTGTTGGACAGAAGTTATGTAAGTAGTCTCGTAACACTGTATATCTTTCTCTGTCATTCAACAGGATCTATGAAAATAGGGCAGAGCAAGATAAAACGTGATGTAGGAAAGAAAATTGACAAAAATTCAAAAATGGACTATATTACATCATGGCAGAGAAAAATATTCCAGAAGAAAAAATCCCTATTACAGCTCTGTGAAGAGATAGTTGGGTAGCTGCTAGGAATATTGGCAATTGTTCCATTCTCAGCTCTAACTCCTAGTCATATCCACCTGACTGCATAGAAATTTCGCTATCTTCGGCTATACTATACTAAAGATAATAGAAAAAATGCCAGAAACTAGTTTTGGCATGCTTTCCCTAGCTTATTAATTATTACAGTTTGGCAAGCATTCAGACATGTTCTTGAAACAATTAATTTGTTAAATTCGGTGTACCAAAGAGTACACTGAATGGTATATTCTTTTCTTATTTCTTATTTTTAGAATAATAAAAGAATAAGAAAAATTATTTCTAAAGGGACATATGTGTATTTTAAAATCTAATGTTCAGCCATTAGCAAGTAAGGAATTCCAAGTGTGAACAGTTATGTACATCATGTGACTTTTCTCTAAAATACAACTATCTAGTATAGAAACTAAGGGAAGAATTTATTTTAAGAAAAACTAACGTTATTTCTGATGCATTACAAGCCGTGATTAATGTTTTGGTTTGATTTTACTATCCTTGATAGATAAAAATATTAAATCTTAGAAAATAATAGTGTAACAATTCATGGTGTTGTGATCTAACTAGAACAGCATAAAAGTGAATGGGATACAAGCAATTTTTAAAAAGTAAAAGATATTTTAAAAAAAATTGCCAAGGTAAGATACGTAAGTACTTTAAATAAATGCAGGGTGGTATAAAAGCTAATATATAGCTAATTAAATCTATCAGAGTCCAACTGTGGTAGAAACTAGCGCAGAAACTAGCAATATATGTTGTAGAAGTGTCCGTCAGCAGCTGGAATGTATAGACTCTTGTGTGTGACCCACGTAATGGTGAGATAAAGCTAGAGCAAAAACTTGATATGGCACATAGAGTGTAGTATTGATAGACCCCCCAGACCTCCTTCCACTCTTCCATGTTTTACACCTGCTTCTATCTCAATTAAAAATGAGCAAAATCCATTTAATATCAGTTTGTCAGCAATCCATGATTCCTGACTCAATACATATCATGGTGGGAAAGGAAGTAAGTAAAACAGGATTTCTGGTGGATGCAAACCACCTAGCCCCGTGATGGCAAACCTATGGCACATGGAGCCATATTTGGTGGTACGCCATCTGTCAACTTCAGTGCGCATGTGTGCGCCGGCCAGCTGATTTTCCGCCCTTCCAGAGAGCCTGGGGAGGCCGTTTTCATCTTCCCCAGGCTTCAAAAATGCCTCCGGATCCTGGGGAGGGGTCCATATGCACAGAGGGGTCTTGCGTGTATGCAGAGGGGGGGTCGTGTAGGCGGGGAGGATTGAGTGGGCATGCGCACACAATAGCACGCACACATGCAATTTTGGCACATCGTAAGAAAAAGGTTCGCCATCACTTATCTAGCCTGGTTAGAGGAATGACTGTATATTGGTCACTTAGAAATCAAATTACTCTGGAAGCTAGTTAAGAAAATCAAACATCAATTTACTAAGGTTGTTGCAAAGATACTGTATTCTTTAAATTACAGTTAACCCAGGTAGCTGTTTCCCTTTGAGAACAGCTATCCTGGGACTAACAACGAGGTTTACTTTTTAGGGGGAGGGAAGCTCTTTTTAACTTCTAAAACATATGAAGGGTATTGCATTGTGATAATTTATAATTTCCTCTTTGAATTTCCTCTTTGATTGTGCAAGAAAATATATTTTTGCAGAATTTCTCCCAAGTTCCCAATGATCATTTACTCAACTTCTTAACTCCTAAAGGAATTTTACCTAGGAACTAGCTTTACATATTAATTCATAGGACAGAATTCTTAAAGAATAAAAATTAAAATACTATATTTTATTTTATATCTGAATCTTTGATAATAAATCGTCATTTTTTTTCTTTTTTCATTATTTTGTAGGTGTGCACAATGTGAAAGCACTGGGCCACTTGATAACTTGGCAGAAGGTGGATTATGACTTCAGTTACCATCAGATGGAATTTCCATGCAACATTAATGTCCTTATCACTTCAGAGGGCAGATCACTCCTACCGGTATAGCAAAGCTTCCCTGCCCTTCCTTCTTTGTAAAGAAGAAGGAAAGAATACAAAGATAATTAACTGTGTTGTACAGTATCCAGTATGAATCATGGATGTACAACACAGTTGATTGCTTTTCTGTGAAAAATTTGGCATTATAAACCTTGGAAGAAACAAAAATAGTGTCTGTAAACAACATTCATACATATAGATCAATTAAACCTTTTAAGTGTATGATTTTGGATGTTATTTTTAAAATCTGCAATTATTAGGGTACTATTGCATTTATAGATAACTAAACCAATTGGATTAAAAAGACTTTTCAACTAATTCTTGTTATCTAATTTGTCAGACAGAACTCTATATATATATAGCATGTAGATGCTTTTAGAGCCAATATTTTTTAAAAATCGTTTAATGGTTTGGGGGTTTAGTCGGAGTGAAGATTGATAACTTTCTTTGTTTTAATAATTGAAATGTAAACTAACGATTTAAACTTTTTCCCCACAGTCAGATTGCCAAGTCCATCTACAGCCAGAGCTCCTTCCCCCTAATATGGAGGAGCACATGCACAGCCTTCTCACAGCTGTGCTGCCATCAATCCTCAACAAGTTCCGCATCTATCTAAGCTTGTTGAGACTGCTGGATTATAGCATATCGGATGAAGTCACAAAGGTATAGAAATCATCATTTATCATTAAGTGTTCAGATTGGGACAAAATTCTATTAGTATTAGGAGGTATGCTGAGGAAGCACTCAACCCCCTTTCTCACCTAAAATGAAACTTCTAGGAGGAAGAGGCTTGTTTTGAATTTTTAGTACTACCTGTATGGTGGAACATTAAAACATTAGAAGCTTTCTTCCATTGGAATATTTAAAAAGTGCCAATTTGAAATGTTGAAAGGTTTAAAAAGTCCCAGTTTGGGATAGAAAATAAAGGCACGCTATCTGAAAAAAACTAGTTCTTGTCATTGGCCATGAAATTTTAAAAAAAACCTGGTACTAAATTCAGCATTTTAATAGTTATCAAGGAAGCTTTCGTGTATAATCTTGCATTGTAATGAAAATTTATTGTATGGTTCTTTTCCCTGGCCATTGTAAAATCACAGCTGGATCTTGGCACTATATAAATTAGTAAACTTTACCTCTCTTAATGGAAATGTAGGATGTGAAAATATTTTATGCCTGAAGAGTGTATGTTCATATGGTAGAAAATTTCTTTTAACATAGCACTATCACATGCAAAAACACTGAATACTAAAAATTAGTATTTGAAGGGAGAAAATTATAGTTCAATTTTCTTCTGGACTTTGGGAGGTAAATCTAAGTTAAATGATAAAGCTTTAATCAATCTCTTCAACAGGCAGTAGAAGATGATTTTGTAGAAATGCGTAAAAACGATCCTGAGAGTATAACAGCAGACGATCTTCACAGAACTCTACTGGTAGCAAGGTGAGGGCACAAATGTTAAGTAGTTTACTGAAGTTATCACTTACTAAAGCAATCAAAAACAAGAACATGTGTCGATGCTGATGTCAGCTCAGGCTTTGGTTTTCCGTGAAAGAAAGAAAATGCATAATAATGCATAAGAAGTCAGGACTTATGAACCAAGCTATGGGGCCCACATAGAAAATGGCTGCAGCCATACAAGCAAAGTGTGGATGAAATAGTGGGAAAATAGTAATTGGATTTGTCCCATTTGTTGTCTGGATCAGTCAGGTTTTGCATGTAGGAGCATCATCCCAAATTCAGAAACTAAGCTATGTTTGGCTAATGAAAATGCATCCCAGGAATCATGAAAATAAAACAGGCTAGAACAGCAGGAGAATAATCCTCCTCCAACAGTGCTTTAATGTTTTTAAAGTAAGAGATACGTTATGCATAGAATGATTGCATAGAAAAGACTGCAAGGTTTGGGTGCATTTTTTTTCCTTTCATTGTATCCCAACTCTGTTGTTAACTCAAGATGACGAACATATCCAACACACCTTCCTCTTCCTATTTTTCTACAACAATCCTGTGAGGTAGGTTGGACTGAGAGTGAGTAACTGCCCCAAAATTACCCAGCAGGCTTTTGTAGCTAAGACCATGAATTTTTCTTTCATGTCACAGGAAGAGTAAAAAAACAGAATCCAAATTCTTTTCCACCTCCTCCCAGTTGTTTTCCTGGAAATCAGCCTGGAGATTTTAAGAGCAAGTCTTTTCCTCTTCCTTTCCCTTTCAATAAGATCTGCTGTCTCGTTTAGATAAAGGTCTCACCAGTGTTCTGTACCTGTTTGTTTTTGTTTTGCCCCTTTGGCAGGGTGGAACAATTGCTTAAATGAGCTCTTTTTTCTCTGCAACAGAGCACTTCCCTAAAAACTGCAAGTTAACAAGCTCAGCTCTGTGACCTTGATTAGATTAGAACTCTTCCCATCTGCTTGCAGGGCTGCCTGAAACTCATTAAGACTTTAATGAGTTTCACCTTGAGGGCTTTTGTGGGGTGAAAAAAGTTGGTCTAAATGTGTCTATTAGCAAGAAAATGAACTTTGTCACATTTGCAAACTATTGCTAAACATGGTAGCCACTAAACAAGGAATGGCTATATTATTTTTCTTCCGTTATTTCATACTTACCATACATCCCTGTAACAATCCGTGTTGCAATCTTTTAGATGCTGTGGTTGAGATCTCTGTTTTCAGGGCTCCATTATGTATTTGATTCCGCAAAATGAGTTATTTGCAAAGCCCAAAGGAGCTTTTTTTTCTCAACCAACGGCAGCATCTATCAAATATTATTTTAGCTAAAACATTTTCAGGCCTGGTTAGTACTTGGAAGGAATTGCCAGGGAATTCCAGGGTGTTGGCTAGGCAGGAAATCATGACCCAATTCCAGAAATAAACAAGCCCTTGCTGCTGCTGCCAAGACAAGGGCAGAGCAGTGTTTCTGTAATCACCAACAGCTGAGCTGGACTTGAGGGGAATTCTTAAATGAGCTTCAGGGTATAACTTTCTCTGTACACAGGTTTCATTATTTATATCAGGGGTGTTAAACTCCCCACGACACATTGCCACATCATGTATCACACAACTTTTTTCCCCTTCATTAAAACAGGGGTGAGCATGGCCAGCACGTGACAAATCTGGCCCAAAGGCTGTAAGTTTGACACCTTATGTATAGGCTTCCTATATTTGCCTCATTTTGATTTCGTTTGCACCACACACCCGGTCGTTATTGGTCATCATTTCAGCGATACTTCCTTACCAGATTCCTCCATATCACAGACCTTCTAATAGACTGCCTTCAGCAGAAAAGATGAAATACATTCAGAGATGTATCTGCCTTGAAAATAGCTCATGTTGAACTACAAAGCATAGTCAACCAATAGCCCAAGAAGCCTTTTATAAATTTTGCCAAATTTCAATTCCACAAGAATCTAGCTCCTAAATTTTGAATGCATTCAGTACATTAACTCATTAGAAGTACCTTGGTTCAAAAGGTTTGGTCCAATGGTGCACCGTTTCGCCCCAGTGAAAGGTTACAAGAATCAGAGTTTTAGTACTATATAGTTTATAAAGAGGTTTATCTCTTGTTTCTTGTCCACAGGTTCCTTTCTCTCAGTGCTGGGCAGACAACACTATCAAGAGAGAGGTGGCTAAGAGCAAAACAATTGGAGGCACTACGTAAAGCCAGATTACAGCCACAAAAATCTGTAAATGGAAATGAACTTTAGGACAACAGTACCATGTTTATAAGACTGTAAACATGCCTAACATTTGTAGAGCTGATATGAACAGAGCATATGTTTATACCGGGTTTTGTAGATAATTTATATCAAAGTTATGGCTCTTTTCTCAAATGAACCAGATTTATGGTGTTCAGCAGATTAACACTGATAAATTTTGGTGCTTGTTTTGTAACCAAATTAGCAACTATGGAAAATCTGTTTGATATTAAAGAGTTACTATAAAAATGATGTCACACTTTTATTAAGAATCAGTAACAGATAAACACTTTATGGCATTAAAACACACCAGATTTTAATGGGATTGGTCTGAAAGGCATAATAAAAAGTATAATTTGTTGAAAGTAGCTCTCCACTTACAATTGGTTCCATAAATGATTACTTTTCACCAAGTTTAGCTGTGTGAATATATCCTAAATAGTCATAAATTTACTATTTACTCAGAATGTAAAAAGGTAAATCAGTATAGAGTTATCTATATCTTTGTCATCTTTATTTAAGCCATCAAAATGGAGATTATTCTTTATGTGTCATACCTACTGATGTTAGCATTGCTAGTTAACTCTTTAATGTGCCAGGATAACCTAAGTTCCTCAACTTGTTTCAGTGGTTATTTTGAAAATTAGATATATATATATATCTAATATATATATATATATATATATATATATATATATATAGATATATATATATATATATATATATATTCCTCATAGAGTTGAATTTGATCAAAGGGTATTTTCAGAATATGTAACTCAGGAACATTAAGCAGGGAAAAAAAGAGTAAACTCTTTTCTGTAAAAATAACAGTCTAATGTTACCTGAGAAGCAAAATTTTAAATATGACTTATATCAGCTCTTATGGCTGATCAGCTAGCAGTCTGATATTTCCAATTCCTTCTACCTTGAAGA